GGAAGGCTTCCTCACATCAATATAACCTCTCATTGACGGCAGCAGTCACATTCAAGTAAAATCCAAGAGCAAAACGAGTGGTTGCCGAATAAGAAGACTAATAATAATAATAATAATAATAATAATAATAATAATAATAATAATATAATAATAATAATAGTAATAATAATAATAATAATAATAATAATAATAGCAGGGACAAGAGATAAAAGTTATGGTTGGCCTCTTGCCATATAAATGGCAAATGATGACAATAAAAGCTTTGAGTTTGACAATTGGCGCTGATAGCCTGATAATGATACAAAAGAAATAAGGAAAAAAAAGTCTTATCGTTACTCAAATTTGTATTAATTTATCATAGTAAAAATTATAAATTTATGTTAGAATATATACATATATATATATCAAAAACACATATTATGTATTCATTAGTTTGCTGCAATATCATGTAAGATAAAACTTTATTGTCAATGCGATTTAATAATGTTACATGGCAATTGATGGCTTCAGCGTTTTTTTTTTAAAATCAAGACGATTTAGGACTATTTCTCAGTCTAGAGTGAGAAAGAATATCACTTGAATATGTAGAGTGATATTGTAGCTAAAATGACAAACATAGAGTAATTACAAAACAAAACAAAACAAAAAGTGATTTTTTTTTGCTCTATTTTATCTTAGTTGAGTGACTTTTTACAAAATAAAGTACTAATTTTCCTGCACAATTTTCATTAGTTGAGTAGCCTATGAGAAATCACAACTAGATACATAAGTAACAAGTTATTTTTTTGTTTTTTCCCGAACAAAAAAAAGGAGGAAACAATGGTTTTTTTTTTTTTTTTGTTGTTGCTAATTCACAATGGTTTCCACTTTGAAACAAGAAACAACTTAGGGACCAACAATATTTTATTGTTTTTTCCTTAGAGATAACAGTATGGGTGGAGAAGTAATGTATAATATTCAATGTTCATTTTCATCTTTATAAATCTGCCGAATTATTTTTGTCTTGATCCAAAATATCACATTCCTTTAGTAAATCCCATTTGCTTTTAAGTGGTGTAAAAAGTATTGAGCTTCCCATCATATAGGCTCAAAAATAATGTCTCTCAAGTTTCTCAAACCTCTGTTTGATTCTTTTCCATGGCATTTGCAGAAACAAAATATGGAGCAAAATGGTGTCTTTTTCTCCTATATTCTTGGAATTATAGCTTTACTATGGTTTGTTTGGATTTTCATCAATAAGTCAAAGAAGGAACAACCCCCATTGCCACCAGGGCCTAAAGCTTTGCCTTTAGTAGGTAATCTCCTCTCTCTTGATCCTGAACTTCACACCTATTTTGCTTCTCTTTCCCAAATTTATGGCCCCATTTGTAGACTATGGCTTGGTAAAAAAGTTGGGATTATTATTACTTCTCCTGCTTTAGCTCGTGAGATTCTTAAGGATCAAGATACAATTTTTGCTAATAGAGATGTGCCTGGTGCTGGTAGAGAAGCTACATATGGTGGTAAAGATATAGTTTGGACTCCTTATGGACCAAAATGGCGTATGTTGAGGAAAGTTTGTGTTCGTGATATGCTTAGTGGTTCTACTTTAGATTCTGTTTATGAACTAAGAAGAGAAGAGCTTAGAAAGACAATTAATTACCTTTATAATCAGAAGGGTGTAGCAGTAAATATTGGTGAACAGATGTTTTTGACTGTGCTTAATGTGATTACAAGTATGTTATGGGGTGGTACAGTAAAGGGAGAGGAAAGATCTAGTCTTGGTGCAGAGTTTAGGCTTGTTGTGACTGAGATGACTGAGTTGTTAGGTACTCCGAATGTGTCCGATTTTTATCCGGGCTTGGCTAGGTTTGATTTGCAAGGTGTAACAAAGAAGATGAAGGTGTTGGTAAAGAGATTTGATAGGATATTTGAGACTATGATTGATCAAAGACAGAAAATGGATAGAAATGGTGGGATAGGAAGTGGTGTTGGCCAAGAAAGCAAGGATTTTTTGCAAGTTTTGCTCAAGTTGAAAGATGAAGCAGATGCTAAAATGCCTCTTACCATGACTGAACTCAAAGCCTTACTCATGGTATGTTTTTGTCATTTGTGCATATTCTACTTGACCTGATTAGAGAAAAAGAGGAAAAAATCTGTTACTTCCATTTGATGTGATGTTGGTTGTTTCCTTCCAAATGTGATTTTAGAAATCTTATACTGCATTATATTGAGTAGCCAAGATTGCATTTGCCTTCAACCGTTCTTACCTTATCTCTATGGATGAATAATTGGTTTACACTGATTAAGAAAGATACTCTTTCAGTTATAATAAAAGGATCAAAATCAAATGAAAGAGAAAGTGGGATTGTAAATTTATAGAAGAATTATTGTGGTATTTGAGAAACAAACTTAAGAAGAATCAAATTCAAATATTTTAGTCCTGAACTGTTGGTTGCATACTTGCAATTTTCTACAATAGGAATATTCACTTTCAATAGATGGGGTGCTGGTTTCCAAGTTTGCATTTGCTTTTAAACTGTCTATCCTTACCTATTATGGTTGAGAAATTGGATTGTACTGATGTTAGTCATAATAAGTGGATCAAATGCTAATAAAAGTGAAAGATAGTTTGTAAATTTATTGAAGAATTATTGTGGCATATAAGAAACAAATACAAGAATAATCATTTATTCATGTCCAGAACTATTGGTTGCTACCTAGTTATTAGAGTACAGGAAGAAAAGAGTCGGAAACATTAGTATCGGACAACATATAAAGACTTAACTGTGTATTAAGACAGTGAACCTTGAACTGAATTCCAACATGCAGTTCTACAGAATGTTCCTTTTGTTGTACATGATAATAACTTTACAAATACCATGAACAGGATATGGTTGTTGGTGGAACTGACACAACCTCCAGCACGGTTGAGTTTGCCATGACTGAAATTATGAACAAACCAGAGGTACTGAGGAAATTACAGCAGGAACTAGAGACGGTTGTGGGCAAAGATAATATAGTGGAAGAGTCTCATATTCAGCATTTACCGTATCTCTATGCAGTTATGAAAGAAGCCTTGCGCATGCATCCAGCTCTCCCACTCTTGGTGCCTCATTGTCCTAGTGAGACAGTCACTGTCGGAGGATATACTGTTCCTAAAGGAGCTCGCGTTTTCATAAATGTATGGGCTATACAGAGAGATCCCTCTCTCTGGGAAAATCCAACTGAGTTCCTTCCGGAGAGATTTTTGGACAATAATTGGGACTATAGTGGAAATGATTTCAACTATTTTCCATTTGGTTCTGGCAGGAGAATTTGTGCGGGGATAGCTATGGCAGAGAGAATGTTCATGTATTCACTGGCTTCACTCATTCATTCTTTCGACTGGAAGTTGCCTGAAGGAGAGAAATTAGACCTTGAAGAGAAGTTTGGGATTGTTTTTAAGAAGAAAATACCTCTGGTGGCTATACCTACTCCAAGATTATCCAATCCAACACTCTATGAGTAAGATAAAAGATGCATCTCTATGTTGGCAATGGTCTTATGAACAACTCAAAGTTCTAATGTTCAATGTGAAATGGCTAATTCCATGACTCCTTTAGTATTATATACTGAATTGAATTTGAGATATCAATACATGTATCATTTTATTTGGAGTACATAATTGATTTCATACCGTTCCTTGTTTAGTTAGTGTTCCTACAAAGAAGATATGGTTGGCATCTCCCTGATATCTATTTAAACAGCCCTTGAGCAAATTGTGAGTAATACTGAAAACAAATCTTTATCCAATTTAACATCAAACACATACTATATTCATATATAGATTTTAATGCGCTAAACCAAATATATTCAAATATTGTTGTAATTTTGTTGCTTCATAATGAATCCTTAAATTAAGTCGTGTACAAGTTATCTTATCTAACCATGATCGGTATGACCCTTGTTTCATAAACTCTGATATCTATGCAAACTAGAAATGTTGTGTACTCTTTTAAGATGTTGATTAATATTCTGAATTAGTAATTGAATTAAACTGGATAAACTTACTGCTGTTAGTAGCTCTAAAAATAAGGGCAGATTGGATTTTTCCAAAGAGATTTGAGATAAAATCCAGATTAGAGTAATCTGCCCCTCAATCAACTGAAAATAAGAATGACGTGCTTCTTTAGAGAAACTGCATATTCAGTGCAAACATGACAAATTTTCTTTCTTCTTTTTGCCCAAACAAGAAAAATAGAAGGAAAGAAGTGGTCCCCATTTAGAAACAAGAAACAATTTGGGACCAACAATACATTATTGTTTTTTTCTTCAAAGTAACAGTATGAGAGGGGAAGTATCTATATTCATTTTCATCTTATGGACTACTACTAATTTGTCTTGACCCAAAATATCTCAGTCTTCAAAATTCCATTTTCTTTAAGTGGAGTTAATGCATTGAGCTTTCAATCACATTGGTTCTTTCATTTTTCTACACCACTGCTCTTTCTAATCTCATTTCCCTCTAAGGCTCAAATAATGTCTCTCAAGTTCATCAAACCTCTATTTGATTCTTGGCCGTGGCATTTGGATGGAGCCAATATTGAGCAAAATGGTATCTTTTTATCCAATATTCTTGGATTTGTAGCTTTACTATGGTTTGTTTGGATTTTCATCGATAAGTCAAAGAAGGGACAACCCCCATTGCCACCAGGGCCTAAAGCTTTGCCTTTAGTAGGTAATCTCCTCTCTCTTGATCCTGAACTTCACACCTATTTTGCTTCTCTTTCCCAAACGTATGGCCCTATTTGTAGACTCTGGCTTGGTAAAAAAGTTGGGATTATCATTACCTCTCCTGCTTTAGCTCGTGAGGTGCTTAGGGAACAAGATACTATTTTTGCTAATAGAGATGTGCCTGCTGCTGCTAGAGAATTTTCATATGGTGGTAAGGACATAGTTTGGACTCCTTATGGACCAAAATGGCGCATGTTGAGGAAGATTTCTGTTCATGAAATGCTTAATGGTTCTACTTTAGACTCCGTTTATGCACTAAGGCGACGGGAGTTTAGACAGACAGTTAATTACTTATATAATCAGGCAGGTTCACCGGTGAGTATCGGTGAGCAGATGTTCTTGAATGTTCTTAATGTGATTACGAGCATGTTATGGGGTGACACAGTGAAGGGTGAGGAAAGAGCTAGTCTCGGTGCAGAGTTTAGGCTTGTTGTGACTGGGATGACTGAGCTGTTAGGTACCCCGGATGTTTCGGATTTTTACCCGGGCTTGGCCAGGTTTGATTTGCAAGGTGTAACAAAGAAGATGAAGGTGTTGGCAAAGCGGTTTGACAAGATATTTGAGACCATTATTGATCAAAGACGGAAAATGGATAGAGATGGTGGGATGGGAAGTGGTGTTGGCCAAGAAAGCAAGGATTTTTTGCAGGTTTTGCTGAAGTTGAAAGATGATGCCGATGCCAAAATACGTCTGACCATGTCTGAAGTCAAAGCCTTACTCATGGTATGTTTTGTCATTTGTGCATTCCGCTGTAGGAAAAGTCACTTTATCAGATCTGATGTTGGTTGTTTCCTTCTAAATGTGTTTTTCCAAATCATAGTCATTACTGCATCATTACCGAGTAGTCAATATTGCATTTGCCTTCAATAGTTCATACCTTATCTATGTGGATGAATAATTTGCTTACACTGATCATGATGGCAGACCTTCTTTTAGTTATAATAAAAAGATCGAGTCAAAGGAAAGAGAGTGGTATTGCAAAATTTATAGAAGAATTTCTTGGCATATGAGAAATAAATTTAAGAAGAATCAGATTCACAAATTCATTTCATGAACTTTGGTTGCATTCTTCTACAATAGTAAAGTTCACTTTCAACGGATGTGCTGATTTCTAAGTTTATGCGTGATAAACAGTCGATCTTTACTTATTATTGATGAATAATTAGCTTAGTGTGATATTAGTCATAAGAAGACGATCAAATGCTAATAAAAATGGAAGTTATCAAAGAACTGTTGTGGCATATAAGAATAAATACAAGAATCAGACTCATATAATTCATGTCCTGAACTGGTGGTTGCTACCTAGTTATTGGAGTACACATCAGACAACATGTAAAGACTTAACTGTGAATTCAGAGTAAACCTTGAACTGAACTCCAATATACAGTTACAAAATTCTTAAATTTTGTTGTACATGATAATAACTTTTACAAATACCATGAACAGGATATGGTTGTTGGTGGAACTGACACAACCTCCAACACTGTTGAATTTGCCATGGCTGAAATTACGAACAACCCAAAGGTCCTGAGGAAATTACAACAGGAACTGGAGACAGTTGTGGGCAAAGATAACATAGTGGAAGAGTCTCATATTCAGCATTTACCATATCTCTATGCAGTTATGAAAGAAGTCTTGCGCATACATCCAGTACTCCCACTATTGGTGCCACATTGTCCTAGTGAGACAGTCACTGTGGGAGGATACACCGTTCCTAAAGGATCTCGTGTTTTCATAAATGTATGGGCTATACAGAGAGATCCTTCTATATGGGAAAATCCGACTGAGTTCCACCCGGAGAGATTCTTGGACAATAAATTGGACTATAGTGGAAATGATTTCAACTTTATTCCATTTAGTTCTGGAAGAAGAATGTGTGCGGGAATAGCCATGGCAGAGAGGATGTTCATGTATTCACTGGCTTCACTTATTCACTCTTTCGACTGGAAGTTGCCCGAAGGAGAGATAGTAGACCTTACAGAGAAGTTTGGTATTGTTTTGAAGAAGAAAATTCCTCTGGTGGCTATACCTACACCAAGATTATCCAGTCCAACACTCTATGAGTAAGATAAAATATGTTGCTTTATCCTGGCAATAATCTTATGAACAACTCAATGTGTAGACATGAAAAATCAGAAGGTTCCATTGTTCCATCTGAAATGGCTAATGGCCATGACTCCTTAACTATTGTATACTGTACCAAGTTTGAAATAATAATACGTGTGTTACTTCATCAGAGCACTTAAAATAACAAAGTGTGCCCTTCATATTGTTACTTCTTTAGTTAGTTTTCCTATGAAGGGAGAGATGATTGGCATCTCCCTGATAGATATGTGAGCAGCCTTCTAGCACTGCATGGATATTATAGAAAATAAATCTTTTTCCAATTTTAAATCAAACACATTTTACATTATACCATGTATATACTGATTTTAATGCAATGAACCAAATAGCCAGTGACAATTACATAGTTGTGTCTTATGAGCACAGAGTTGTGGCCTTCCAATATGCATCACCAGCTTACGATAAGTTATGTTACATGTGCTTTAAAAGTCACTTTCTTTTGATGTGATGTTGGTTGTTTCCTTCTTCTAAGGTGTTTTAACCTTTCCTTTTGCCAGTTCAAATCAGTTATAGTCAGTACTCCATTATTATTATTGCATTTGCCTTCAACTGTTCTTACCTTATCTATATGGATGGAAAAATTAGCTTCTATATTGATAATTGGCTTCCTTTCAAAAACTGGTATTAGAAGAAGCTCTGAGACTATCTCTCCATACTAAACATGGCTTTAGCACCTCTAAACGAGCTTGGTCTTGCAGGTATTACCCTTTCAATTGTGTTCCTGACAATTATATGGTACAAAAGGACATCAAATATACCACAGAAGACAGAACCTAGGTTGCCACCAGGGCCTCGTGGCCTTCCAATTGTGGGATTCTTACCATTCCTCCGCCCCAATTTGCACCACCAGCTTACAGAGTTGTCTCAACAGTATGGTCCAATATACAAGTTTTGGCTAGGAAGCAAACTATGCATTGTGTTGAATTCACCATCCTTAGCCAAAGAAGTAGTTCGTGATCAAGACTCCGTTTTTGCCAACCGTGACTCTTCAATTGCAGGATTGCTGGCCACATATGGTGGATTAGATATTGCATTTTCTCACTATGGCTCCTACTGGCGTGATATGCGCAAACTGTTTGTGAGTGAGATGCTAAGCAACAGGAACCTTGAGGCTTGTTATAGTCTTCGGAAACACGAGGTCAGAAAGACAATTAGAAACGTGCATACCAAGATTGGCTACCCCATTGACATTGGTGAATTGGCTTTTGTAACTGAAATGAATGTAGTCATGAGTATGATCTTTGGCAGTAATTTTGTAGAGGAGAAGGAGAAGCATGCAAAAGATGGAGCTGAGTTCAGGGCATTGGTGACAAAATTTCTTCAAATGTTGGAAAAGCCAAACATATCAGACTTCTTCCCTATGCTTGCCAGGTTTGACTTACAAGGAATACAGAAAGAGATGAAGGCTCTTTCGAAGTCAGTTGAAAGTATATTAGACCCTGCCATAAACGAACGCATGAAGATGCTTTCGGACAAAAGAGAGGGTGAAATCCAGGGGAATGGGAAGAAGGATTTTGTGCAGATCCTATTAGAGCTGATGGAGCAGAAAAATATTGGTATATCAGTGGACTTGGTGCAAATAAAGGCCATCTTGCTGGTAAGTTATATGGTCTGTATCTATTTTTTATATCATTGCTTGTCTCCTTAAAATTGGTTATCCTAAGAATTCCATTATTTTTAGTTTACGAGAAATCAGTTTAAAAATTTAACGGTCATACAAACTTATCTATCATGTCTACTGGAGCACCCACGGTGTAGCCTAGTGGTCATTGATCCATGAAATGGGTGCAAA